CATCTCCTACTAGCTGCAACTCAGAACTATTGGTCTCATTCCAGACTACCAATCTAGATACCCAGTATAGTATATTTTTGTATTCTTTTTCTTTAGTGAACCTGATGGCCTGGTTAGTTATATGCTCCTCTACACATATTTGCCATCTGGTTTTAATCTTCGGTTTCTATAAAGATGTTTTATAGGCTTCAACTAGTCCAATAATACTGTTAAAAGTTCATGCTATCTCTTTATTTGAGAATTTTCAAGTGGATTTCTATCACTTTAGTTCCTTTGTCTTCTATGCCTGGTAGTCTAATTGTGGGTTTGCACTGAAGTCTTATACAACACCAGTTAACATTCCTTCATATATGTGTAATGTTATACTTCGCATAGATGTCTGAGCTTCCAAAGTTAGGGTACCCGACCTGGTGTACCTGGGTAACAGCTACATGAGGCCAACTGATTAACAGAAGTCAGTTATTGTAATGCAGATATAATTTCCAAATTTTGTTATAAGTGGGATTTGAAGCTTAGACCTGAGACTTGAAAGATGACAATCTAACTACTACACTAGGATTGCTATTCTCACTTCAAATTTTTTAAAAATTTCATTATGTTTTTTTCTAATATAAAAAAAAATCTATTTTGTGTTTGTTTTTTTAAATTACTATTTTAATTCTATTTATTATTTTTTTCTTAAAATTATTTTTAGTTATTTAACTGCTTATTTCTATTTTAATTTTTTTGTTTTTTTTTTATATTTATTGTTTTTAATTTTTTAAAATATAGATCAGTAGGAGCTTTATATTTACTAATCACTATTATAAATTTTTTTTAAATCAAATAAAATTTAAATATTTAAATCAAATATTTAAACAAATTAAATTTAAGTCAGATATATTTGATTTGATCAAATTCAAATTTACTTAATATTTGATTTAATTTGAATTTAAAGAACTTTATTAAGAAGTATAGCAACAATTACTTTTGAAAACAATATAGATTTTAAAAAAGCATGCAATAAACCAATAAAATATTATAACTATATATTCTATTAAAAACTAAAATAAAATATAAATTTTTTAAAAAAATAGGTTTATTTATAATACAAAAACAAAAAGAATATAATTTAAAATAAAAATTTTAAATAATTAATATAAAACAAAATTAAGAAAAAAAATCAAAAATATACTAAAAATAAGTTAAATAAACTAATAAAAATTAATAAAAAATCAGAAAAGATTTAAAAAAATAGACTAGTATTAAAATATTCTAAAAAAATATAAAATAATAATAAAAAAATAAGTAACAAGCAATTATGACTTGTTTAATATATCTAAAAAGTATTATAATTAAAAACACAAATATGAATAAAAGAAATCTAGACATTTTGTAAGATAAAAAAACTTTTTTAAAAAATACAAATAGAAAAAGATTCTTATTTATTAAAATAATAAACAAAAAGAAAAACAAAAATAAAAAAATATAATAAAAAAAATAATTAGTTAAAAAAAATGAAAACAAAAACAAAAAGAGCTTATAATATTATATTACAAATTAATAAACTTAAAATCAAAGAAAAAAACTAAAAAAAATCTTTTAAAATGATTAAAAAAAAAGAAATTACAAGTTTAAATATAACAAAAACCAACAAATATTATAGAAAAAAGATAATTCTAATATATAGTTTTAATATATAATATAAAATTTATTAACCTAGTATAGTATATAATAAAAAAATAATTCAGATATAAAATACTAATAAAAAAAATCAAAAGATCATTTTAAAATATTTTATTAATATTCAAATATATTTAATATTATTAGAAATAATATATTTATTTTATAATTAATAATAAGAATATATTTGGTTATTTTTTAAAAAAACTCTTTCTACTAATTTACATTTTTTAAAAAAAACAAAAGCAAAGAAAATAAAAAAAAACAGATAAACTAAAATAAAAATAATTAGTTAAATAACTAAGAAATAATTTTAAGAAAAAAAAATAGACTTATTTAGTATAGTAATTTAATAGAATAAATATAAAATAAGTTTTTCTTTATACTAGTAAAAAACAAACTGAATTTTTTAAAAAATTTAAGAATTTAATTTAGACTTTAAATAATAGCAAATAGATATATAATACAAACAACAATTATTAGTAAATATAATATACAAAGAATTATATCTTGTTTAGAAAATATAAATATATTAGCAAAATCAACAAACAAATAAATAAATTATTAAAAATTTTAAAATTAATAAATATTAATAGAATAGTCTAAAAACAGATATATGATTCAAAAAGAAAATATTTTATAATTAATATTTAATTTAATATATTGTTAATTTGTAATTTTTCTATTATTATAACAATAACAGAATCTGTTTAACTATAATATAAAGACTATAACTTGATAGGTTTTATATAAAATCTACAACAAGGCTTAATAAATATAATTTGGGATTTTAAGATAGTAGCAATAATAAATAATATATGAAGATACTAAATATTGCTTTTAGTTTATAAATTATGAAATATATAAAGACATTTAATTTTTTTGAAATATTAGAAAGCAGTAATTTTATAGATATTTTACATATATAAATAATTACAATAAAGGTTACTTTATTGCTAATAAATACTATATAATATATATAAGAACTAAAAAATATAAATAATATTATAGATATAATAGAAATAATAAAAATGATAGATCTAATAGAACTAATAAATCTAGTAAAAATGATAAACCTAATAGAAATGATAAAAATAATAGATATTTAGTACACTAATAAGAGCTAATCAGAATTAAGTTACATATATTAGGATTAGTATTTTTATTAAAATTATCTTGATTCTGCAATTCTGTAATCAGAATCATATGATCTTATACATTTTAAAATCATTTCAATGAGCTAAATCTAATAATAATTATTTCATCTAATATAATTTGGTATATTAAAAATTATGATCAAAAATGTGTTAAACTTTTAATATTAACAATATGTAAAAAACAGATAATATAGTTTATAAATATTTAAATAGTTATAAGTTAAATTAAGTACTAAGAATAATTATGTATAAAGATCCAAGTGACATTGAAATTATAGTTAAATGACTAATAATTAATAATTCAAAAAAATATTACAATAAAAGATTTAAAATTATATAACCAAATAATTGAAACTTTAAAATTTGAAATAGAAATAATAATAATTCTATTAAAAAAGTTTATCAAAACACTTACCATGTGTCATTTTATTTGCCTAATGTCATAATACTGAAATCTTATAATTCTATTATTAATTATATATTTATGTCTAAAATACACTTACTAAAAATATTATTAAACTAGTAAAATTAATTTTGCAATTAATATCATCTTAGCTAAAGTATCCATCTGAAAATGAACAATTAGTGAAAACATCAGATAACTCTTTCTGATTATATATTTATATTGCCAATCATATTTTTTAATTTTATATGTTTATTTTATTTTATCCTCACTTTTCCTTTCTATCAAAAGTTCTAAAACTAATATTAACTAAAAATTAAATTTCAAACTGCTTTATAAAAAATTTTTCATAATGTTGGGATTGGATAATTGCAACTCTGTCATTCCACAATCCAAAGTACCATGTAACATATAATAAGTAATCTTTTCAAAAGAGAGTGTTAGATTTGACTAATGGGTGATTAAGACTTTCAGTTACTTTGGATCAATGAATACAAGTAGAGTAAATTATATAAACAAAAACTTGCACAAACAATAATGTTTATTGGGGTTTTTACAGAATGTATACTGGATTTAGTGTTAATATTTGTTAATGTATTGAAACTTGTATTTTAATAAAATCAATAAAGCATACTGCTCCAAAAGGCCATTTTGACCTTTATTTATATTATCTTTTTAACTATGACTTATTTAATTACATTAATCTCATTCCTCTATTTAATTCGATTCCTCTAATTTATTCACTTAAACACATTTACTTAATAAATCCCCCTTCTCTAATTAATCCCCTTTCTCTAATTAATCTTACTTCCTTGATTTATTTAATTAATCGCATTAATGCAATTAATTGACAGGATATCTATATCGAGGAATTGATCGTCGTACCCGTTCTCACGTGAGGTCCCGGCAGAGTATTTACGTCACGTTATTGGGCCTCACAATAGCATCTGGCACTGTATTTATTTCTTCCCGTTCCTGGTTTCGCACAACAACGTTGCGCAGCTACTTATTCTTAAAAATAATGTCATATTAGATATTAAATATAATAAGGTATTTGTAAGGGGCGAAAATTTATATTATAAATAAAGGCCGAAATGGCCTTTGAGAGAAGAAAGTCTCGTTTGTTTCATAAAATAATAAGTCCCAATCTTATAAACCGTCCATAATATTATACTATGATTATTACTATTATAAACCTTGTAAACGCCATAAAAACCGGTGAATTCGTGATCATGTGACTTGACATACCTGACTTTGCTGATCCAAGTAACCGAAACCTTAATCGCCAGCAGCCAAATCTAACACCCTTATTTCGTAAGACTATCTATCGTTGGTTACTCGAAATTCTGGAACGTGGAGGGACCGAGTCGCGGTTCTTTCATTACTTACAATACATAAATTCTATATTTACTTTTTGGATTGTATTAGTTATAAGGAAATCGAACTTTTAAGAATAGTACACTTTTTTTTTATTGTGTGTAAAAATTTTAATACATATATATATCCGATAATATTGCGATATTGTCGATATTGTCGATGTTGTCGATGTTTTCGATTTTTTTGATATTGTAAATAACAATTGAATATATATTATCAGTTATACAATGAGATTGGAAATAACAATTTTAGTAAACATATAAATACGATTTTTTAATACATATAAATACATAATATATATAAATTTGTTATGCATATAAATAATATTTAAGCCGGCTGTCTTATGACTATTTAATAAAAGAATGTGTAAAAATTTTGAATAAAGAATGAAAAAAATATTTTTAATCATGCAAAAAAGACACAGGAAGTGTCTCTGGGAAAAGGTCTTTCAAGAGCTCTTGAATACCTTCATCATTTTCAGTGTTGATCACGATCGGCTGAACGGCAACAGAGGTATTTTGTACGGTTACGTTAATTATTCTAATTTCTGATGAGTAAAATTGTCGGGCGGCAAGATGAGCTATACGTTTAAACTCATCTATTAGTGGTATATCTATGGATTTTAATTGTTTCCATAGATTACTTGCATGCTTAGATAAATCCTGCCTTTCGATTTTAAGGTTGAGAGAAGTGACAGAATCCTGTAAAACGTTGCGGAATAAAATGAAGCATCTCTGTGGAGACCTTCCGTTATTTCTAACTGTAGCGGTTGTAAAATTTACGCGATAATTTTTAAAACTTATATAAGATTGACCGCAGTCACATCGAGTGAATTGTAAATCGAAACCATTTACACTCGATGAAATCGAATAAGAAATTATATGTTCGGGTTCGTAAGTCATTATTGTTGAGTCGGTTTATTTAATCATTAAATTACTCTGTGTCGTTTAAAAAAAAAGGTAAGGAAAGTCAACACTATGAAGAAAAAAATTCAGAGAAGAAAGGTACTTTATATAATTTCGATCTAAGCATCAAACATACTTTCTAAACATATTTACCGTTAACGTTAAAGATTGTTTTTTTTAAAAAAAAACTTAAAAAAAGCCACTTAACTTTGGATAATCAAAAGAGTGGTCTGATTTTTGGGTTTTCCCTTCCCCACGCTTATCAATTAAGTCATTAACATTATTGTTATAGAAGGGATTTTTTTACTAATGACGAAACTAAACCTGGATAACTAAATTTGGATTATGGACCATTCATGATTTTAGATGAAAAATAAACTATCGTACTTTTTAATCATTTACGCGTTAGTAAGAATTGAGCCACTCTAGAAAAGGAAAATTGAATAATCTAATATTATCTAATAATATTTTGATTTGTCAACGACGCGTGAATTTTTATTAGGTAATTACGTGTATTTAATAAAATGGAAAATATCAGTCGTAAATACCATGTATAAAAAAGGAATTTTATGAAGGCTAATGAAAAGATCGATAATATAAATGCAGTTCCCCATTTTTATGGGGCTTTTTTAGCTTAATCATGAAATTACACGAGATTCCATAATTATATATCCTCTTTGATGACATTCCATTCGGGATGAATATATTATTACTTTTAAACATTCTTTTAAGAATTCGCATAATTAATTACAGTTAATATCAAGTATTTAACATGTTCGCTCACTCTTTAGCATGATAGAAGATTTTTATCGGTTCACACCGACACTTGTTATAATCTTTAATTATTTATCACAAAGACACATTGATACTTTAGACCAGATCATTCTAAATCCATACAACCCTATGAACATGTGCAACGCTGTGGATTTCCAAATTAGTAGTTAAATAAGTGTTCTAAAAAAAATTCTAAAAATTCTAAAGATGTCCTATTAAAGAAATGGTGAAACCAGATCCATAAGCATTGGAATACGACAAACGCACACACTTACTATACACGTGCACGTTGTGACTTTGTGACTTTGGTCACATTACAATTTAATTGAACTTATTCAACAAATATTTCGGATTCTCTGAATGAATTATTAATAAAATATTTTAAATGCGTACCTTCTGGTTTATTAATTAATGAACTCCATTGAACCTTTTACAACTTCAATTAGTTTAATACTTTTAATTATTTCAATTGTTAAGACTGTAACTGTGACCTAATCTCCAAATATGCATTTAATATCTGTTTACAAAATCTCTTTGTCCAATATTAGAAAGTTGGAAATCTGCATAAAAGATCAATGAAATTTAATAAATTATATACTTTGATGAAATCCAAATTTGGCTTTAAGTTTACGTTAGCCTAACTTAAAATCTTTTTCTGTTTATAACAATAATTCTGTAATTGTATAATGCATTGTACCGTACTTATATAAGTTTCTATTGGTCAAAAAAAATTCACACATGATACAAATATACGATAATACATCTACCTTTTTGAGACCAACATTATTTGTTTATGTGCAACAACTGTGTATAACTCGTGATAATTATCGCTTTTATTGCAGTAGTCTTAACGTCAAACATTCTTTAGGCTTAGAACTAAGTAATTATATAACTAAATGTTAATTTTATCCAATCATAATATTCATAATTTTCTTAAATAATACAGTCATCCTCCACTATAATCACCTCCTATATGATCATAGATTCTATATAATCGCTTAAACCTTGAAAAAGTTCATTAATAAACTTATAAAAAATACTTGTATATAAGCACATCATAATAGAATTTTTATAACCAAAATTGTTTTCTTGGAACAAACTGCATGATTATAGAGGATTACGATTGTACTCGAATTTCTTGTTTCCGATGCATCGATATACCACAAAGTTATAGGTTCGATCATAAGATCCTATCAGTTTGCAAATCATTTAATAAAATACAGTACTTTCTTTATTGCTTTGAATTCATTAACAATTCTGATAAAATTTTTTTTAATTCACATTACCAGACCTACCGAATAATTGACGGTGAAACCAATTACCGCAATTGCAATTATTTGAATCCAGTTGATTGATTGGTGGTATAATCAATTAATTGCAATTTTTGCTGTTGTTTGCAAAATGTGACGACTTGATAAAATATGTAGTTATAGACATAGGTATAAGCATATTTGCTGTTCTTCGACCTCAAAAATTGTACGTAGTTATAAAAAATAAATAATCCATTATTTTTTGAATTAACTTACAAAATTTATCAATTGTGCAAATCTTTTTTTTAAATTGATTCCAATGAATGCCAAAGTTCCGCACAAATGTTCATGGATGCCTTTTTTAGACTTTCAAATGACGGCGATCATCAGTGTAATTTATGTTCTTCCGGATCATAGCCGATAATTAAAAAGATGCTTTTTTTAGGCCTTCAAATGACGACTGACATTAATGTAATTTATATTCTTCCGGATCACAACCAATGATCAAAAAGATTCCTTCAAATGACGGCTGACATTAGTATAATTTATATTCTTCCGAATCACAACCAATGATCAAAATGATGCCTTTAAATGACGACTGACATTAGTGTAATTTATATTCTTTCGGATCACAACCAATGATCAAAAAGATGCCTTCAAATGACTGCAAACACTAGTGTGATTTGTTTTCTTCCGAATCTTTTTTAGATCTTCAAATGACTGCAAACACTAGTGTAATTTGTTTTCTTCCGAATGCTATTTTTAGACCTTCAAATGATAGCAATGATAGCAAACATTAGCAAATTATAAACTTTAATAAATTGTTGATATCTAAAAAAAAAATATTTATTAATTATCTACATCTTTTTCTAAGCACATGTTCTCTAACTCAATAAACTTCTCATATGACCTTTCTGATCTCAGATAAACAATATATGTTGTAAGTGAAAATGAAGTTTAAGTGGATTTGGAATTTTTATATAAAACCTGCATTTTGGAATTGATTTTATCTAATAATGTATTATTTATATGATACCTGAATAATCAGGACAGTTGGTGGATATAGATAGATAAGTGGATATGGAAATTAGAGTGTTTAAATAAAGAACTTACAGGCATATTCTAGGTATAGCAACTAGTATAAAATTTTCAGGCAAACTACTTAAATTAGATAATAATTAAAGTTGTATGAGTAGTTGTATACTTTTTTCTTATTGTATTCTGTGATTGTAATAGAACTATTAGTTGATTTATTATTAATAAAATACTTGGTTATAAATACTCATCTAATATTAAAAAAGAAACAAAGTAAATTTTAAATGAAATATATTTTTAAACAAAAAAATATAAGTTATTATATATAGTAAATTAGTCTAAAAATATATATATAGTATTAATAAAACTGTTTTTTAAAACAAAAATAATTAGAGATGTGGTGATTTAGTAAAGTAAACAGATTGTTAATTTTCAAATAACAGGTCTAGAATTCAAATTCTATAGACAACAAATTTTAGAAATTATATTTGTATTATAGTAACTTTCTCTGTTAATTAATTGGATTGACATATATGTAACCTTTAGTTATACTATTTTAAATGAAAGCTTAGAGTATCTATGTAAAATGTTATATTATATGTATATAAAAAAATATTAATAGTCAGTATTGTATAAGATTTTAGTACAAACTTATAATAAGACTACTGGGTGCAAAAAGTAAAAGAACTGAAAAGTCAAAAATCTATTTGAAAATCTTAAATAAAAAGGTAGCACGAAATTTTAATAATGCTATTAAACTAATAAAAGTCTATAAAACATCTTTAAAAAAATAGATAAATAAATCAGATAATAATATGTGTAAAAGAGTATATGACCAACCAGCTAACCAAAATTGCTAAAAAAAAAAGAATATTAAGATATATCATACTAAACTATCTGGATTAAAAGTCTAAAGAGACTTATTAGTTTTAAGTAGTAATTAGTAGAAGATAATGAAGAAGATATCAGCAAGATAGGTATTAGAGTTTTGAATAAACCTTACAGAGTATAGTAGTTTAATAGTTAGTCCTAACTGTAAGTAATAGTTTAAGCCAAAGTAATACTAGGTCAGCTGTAAGTATAAGATACAGAAAGTTCTAGTATATTTAGTACAAAGTTAAATATAACTTAGTGATTGTAGCACATTTGTATTTAAATGCAGTTAATAGAATATAAAAATTAATGTATTTAAATAGAAAATTTACAAATGGGTTTTAGATATAACAACTAGTGTAAAACATTCAAGTAGACTACTTAAATTAGATAATAACTAAAGTTGTATAAGTATCTAATTGTATATTTTTTTTATAATTGTTTTTATAGTTATTGTACATAATAGTTATAAGTTAACTATTACTAATAAACTTCTAAATTGCATATACACATTTTAATATTAAAAAAAATATTAATAATTAAAATATTATAATATTATAAATTTTATAAAAATAATATTTGTAACAATTATTTATAAAATATTATATATAAGATTAAGATTAATAGATAAATTTAAATTTATAAAGTTTTTTTTAATTTTTAAAGATTATACTTTATAATAATATTTTATTATATATTGGAGTTAACTATTACAACTATTTTTACAAAAATGAAAGTATAACTAGGTATATATATAACTTTTTTAGTTATTTATTTAAATAATTTATTTTAAAGTTCTATACTAGATGTTGTATTTATAATATATTAGAAAATTATCTATTTAAATCTTTTAATTATTTGCTTCATTATAAATTTACAAAAAATTTAAATAATTTTAAAACTAATTATTTCTGCTATATATTTTATTGTTTAAAAACTTTACTAAAATTAAGATAATAGTTAAATAAAGTATTAATATCTTAAATGCATATTGACATGATCTAAAAAAGGATCATTGATATTTCATTTAAATTAGATCACATAATGAAATAACAATCTACAGTA